TTTTTAACTAAAGAGTGAAGATGATGACAATGGTGATGATTATAACTAAAGGGTGAAGATGACGACAACGATGATGATGATTTAAATTAGAAAGTGAAGAAGATGGCAATGATGATGAACGATGATTGCGCTGATGACAATGAAAAAGATGACGATAAGAAGTACTAAAAACAATTTTACTTTTTTAAATTTATAAATTTAATTTTTTGACCAATTTTCCACTTCATATATATATATATATTCATATATATTCGTATATATATATATATATATATATATATCTTTCAACCAATAGGATACGGGGTTATTTTTAGACTCGGGTCGCCAGGGTAACCATATGTTTTTCATAATATTTTTCTATTTGTATATTTTCATTTATTAACACACACACACATGTGCACACACGCACGCACGCACACACACACACACACACACATACATATATATATATATATATATATACACACACATACATATATATATGTATAATATATATATATATAGTGACCATTTGGTATTCTATTTTTTCTTTTATATTAAAAATAGCGCTACATCATTTTGATTGATTGCGTGGGCGGATGAGATACTGGATGAATGAACGAACGAATGAATGAATAGATGAAAAAATGAATGAACGATTGAATGAGTAAACAATGAATGGACAATTGGATGAGTGGTTGAATGAATGAATGAATGACCAAATAAATATACGAATGAATAAAAATTTGATAAAGTTTACCGTTACTGCTATTACTACTATTGTTATTGTTGTTGTTCTTAATGTTAGCAATCTTGTCAATGTAATTGCTGCTACCATAATTACTATAATTATTACCATAATTATAATTGTTATTATTATTATTTTTGTTATAATTATTATAATTATCATCATTATTAATGACGTTGTTATTGCTGCCACCGATGAAATTATGAACACAATTAATATTATTATTATTATTATTGTTGTTGTTGTTATGGTTTATGTTGTTGTTGTTGTTATTTTGATTATTGTTATTAATTATTTTCTGCTGTTTATATTATGTTATTATTTTGTTGTTATATCGAATGTTATACTCTGTTGATCTGCATTACACTTTTTATAGCTGTTTAGCGATTTCTTTTTTGAAGAAACATTCCAATTTACATAACATAATTATGTATATAATATATATATACAATATATATTTATATATACATAAAATATATATGACATTTATATATATATATATATATAAATGTATATATATATATAAATGTATATATATATATATAAAATATATATGACATTTATATATATATATATAAATATATACCGTTTAGTGTTTACTGCTTGTGTAATGTTACTACTACCTACCTAAGAGTGAATTAAGTATTATACGTGTAGTATTATTTTTGTTAACTGAATATTATAACTATATATATATATATATATATATATATATATATATATGGGGCTGGAAAGAGACCATATATTACATATATATATATATATATATACACACACACATATTATAATTAGATTTTTCTTCAGTTGAATCATGGGTTCTTTTTTTCCTTTATAAATGTTCATCTACAGTTGTAGTAGCAACAGGCGTATTATTGTGTATTAAATGCTGTACATCTTTGCCCATAACGTAAAACGCGCAACTTTCTTTGAAATTTGGCAGGAAGTGCGTATTGGCCAATTTTGGTAATAATACTTAGTTTAGGGAAGAATTTTTTCAAATTCACCGGCCAATTTCTGTAACAATACTTGGTTTAATGAAGAATTTTTTCAAATTCATAGGCCAATTTTGGTAATAATACTTAGTTTAAGGGTTTCATGTCTTTTTTGGAAATTCTCATTTTTGGTGGAGTTTTGTTAACGTGACGAAAGCCACACTCAGGAGTTCCAATTCCACTCAAGTAAGAATCAATTATTCTATTATCTGCAGAAAAATAGATTGAATACATCGTGAAAACAGCTTTGGTTTTGTAAATTGTTGAAAAGAGCTTTGTTTGAGTGTTTTTTGCTACTGAAAAAAAAGAAAAGGCCTACCGCTAAAACTCCTCTTTCAAATTTATGAAAATATTGTAGTATTTAGGATTGATTATAAAGGCCTCAGAGGTGCATCTCAGCAGAGATCTATTCCAGTTTTTCGTCAATTGATGCGCTTTATAGCTACAAATAGCTAACTGTCTCTTTGGAAATGTAATTGCTGATAATGACGATGAATGACGCGAGTAGGAACGCTACCGGGCAAGATGGTACTTTCTTGGGGGAATGGTTACAAATTTCAAAGTACGAGTTAAGCGCAAAAGTTTACAGTATTACATATTTTATAAGTTTATTCGTATTGAATTTGATTTTTTATGTACTTTTTATAAAACAAATGAATAAATTAATTATTCAATTATTTAACGTTTACAAGAATATGATTTCCTTCCTCTGCCAGGGTACGTACTATGTAGTGAGTTATTAATGGTACTGTGTATTTTATTGCATTTTATCGCATTGCAGTCTATGTGTGTTTATTTAGCCTGTGTCTCTTTTTTAATACACCAAATTATTTGGTTTTGTTTTTTAATAAATTTGAAAAAATTTAAGATTCCATGTTATTCAATTACTCTAAAAAAGCATTAGCTGAGTGAATATTTTCTAAAAGTGACGAATCCGAAATCAAGTTAGCATGCTCGTGTTATTATAATTTTATGTGGTTTCGAGATTTGAAAGGCTGCTACTGAGAAAAACTACTCCGTCCTATGGACTCACTTAATCAGTTTTAAATTAATGGCTAAGTTGAAGTTTTGATAATTTCGAATAAAGTCACAAACGACATTGGCCAATCAAATTTGCTTCACCATTTGATATTAATCTGTCCACTCGCTCGAGTTCAATTTGTAGATCAATCTGAAACGGATATCCGGTAAGGCTTTCGGCGGATCCGGTTGTTGGGATTCGGACTCGAATAGATATCTCGATCCAGAACAGTCGCATTCTTAGCGCACACATACGCACAAACAATCAAATGAATATTTGCACATATAAAAGACAAACCTACAAGTTGCCTGAGCTACAAAGATTCAGACCAGAAAATAAAAAAAAATCATCATCCTTCGTTCGTTAACTAAAAGAACTCCACTCGACGTATTCATTCTGATAATGCGCTTCACTTCACACCCAAAATGTACACATACAGACACACACTACACACACAACACACACACACACGCATGCACATATACGCCAAAAACACGTACGCACAAACAATACATACAAACGTGTGAAATAACCTACACACGC